CACTGAGTGACCTGCTGGTTTCTGTCCATAAAACTACTCATCTAAGATGACCACAGAGTAAAACATCTCTCAGCAACATTATGCAACATTTTAGGCACTGTTGCCCCGATCAGATCAGTGAGCTGGGATTTTTTATTCTCAACATGAGCTACTGTTACAGCAACAGATATGGACTACATGCCCCACACAACAACTCAATGTCCACTATGTGAAGCAGCCAAACACATGCCTGCTCCTCTCGTTAACTGAGATAAACTGCTGGCATATTGGTTTTACATCTCTACTGTCCAGTTTCTCCTGGTGGACATGGTACAGCCTGTGTAAACTAATATCCTGGCTGCTCGAGGCTGCAGTTTTCTCTGACAGTTTCAATCAAAATTAGAAATGCTGCTCTGAGACTGAGAGAACTAATAGTGCTGCCTGTTGTGCAGTTAGTTTTCAAAACACGTTATTCGTGGTTTTAGACTGATGTGGGTCAAAGCCTGGCATAGCCTGTAACATTATTGTGACGGACACATTTCATGAGTGAACTTGACTTTAAGTGACTTACAGGTTTCATTGAAAAACACTTTCTTATATCCAGGTTCTTCTTCTTGCTGCCGTCCTAAACAGAGCTCCCGGAAAGGCTCAGCCAATCACATTGGCCATATTTGTCACATGACGTAGGACTCCAGTAGAGAACGTAATTTAACTCTTTCTGGAGTCGTTGAGACGTTGACAGATTGTTATTTCTTTCTATCGGGTTTGTTTTTCTTTACTCGAAGAGATCAAATTATTGGTGGGGACACGTCCCTGCTGTCCATGCCAAATCTACGCCCTTGGCTGAAGGAGCTGCTCAGGGCCTCCACAGTCTCATGCATTGGTTCAGAGGTGTTGTCCATGATGTACCGTAGCTTGTCTAACATCCTCTTCTCACCCACCTCCTCTGTGGAAACTAGTGGACTGGCCAGGACAGAGCTGGCTCTCTGCACCAGTCTATTAAATTATTTTGTGTCAGTCTCCGTGGTGCCACCTCTCCAGCAGACAACCACATATAAAATTTGCTTAAGCTATTAATGTGTCATAAAAGGTCCTCAGTAATGCCCTGCACACCCCCAAAGACCTCAGCCTGCCCAGCAGATGAAGCCAACTTTGGGTCTTCTTGCACAGAGTGTTTTCTCACCAGTCCAGTTTTCTTTTGTGGAGAAGAACAATTTGGAAAGGAAAATATGTTTTGAAAGAACCATGATGAGAAAAAAATATAACCTTACTTGTGCTAGTATTTTATACACTTAGCATCGACTGTGTGCAAGTAGATAACCTCCTTAACAGAGAAAAAGAAGAAAGACAATTCAGAATATGACATTTCTACTAAACCAGTTTAGCAGAAGTCCTGAAATCTCCTGATTCTCAGATGCCTCAACATTCAGCGGGTAAAATAGGTGTGAACAAGTCACCAATTTTCTAATGAAATATATTCCTACAGGCACTATTGACATGACATTCTCACCAGATGCTGGTAACAACCCATCGAACTCACACATGCAGAGAACTCAAACCACAGATGTCCATAGATAAAGATTGCCTCCACTCAGCCTCATTATGTGTAATAATCAGTGTTGGTCAAGTTACTTGAAAAAAGTCATCAGTAACTAATTACCGATTACTTCCCCCAAAAAGTAATCCTGTTACTTTACTGATTACTTATTTTCAAAAGTAGTTAGTTACTTAGTTACCTTTTAAAAACATAATTTACAACCTGAATAGGTGATAAAGCAAAAAATTTAATTATCTGCACCATTCTCTGACTGGAAGAAATTACTTTAACATTTAAACCTATTTTCTGCACATTCCAGCTCATAAAATAAAATAGTTTTTTGTGTTTACACTCAGTCTTTCAAATAGATGCAAGTAAAACACAGCAGAAAATAAATCAAATTAAAGACTCAGCGGTCCTGTTGCTCTATTTTCACCTGTATAGCAGGAGTGGGGCAGGTGGAGGTTTGCCCTGGTGCAGGTGTGTCGTAGCCGTCATGTCAGTGGAAGAATCCGGGAGTTTCTCTGTGAACTTCACATTCCCAATGTAAAAAGAAGTTTTCTTCCCACGCACAGCGGACACTAATGTTTTTGTCACTTTTTATGGAATCAAACTGAAAGTCAGGTCAGTACTTCCACGCTTTAAACGCTGCACGCTCATACTCTCTCCTGCACTCCATATATGATCCATTGTTGATCTGCACACAGCTGATACCACGAACGTCGCACTAGCTTATGCCACTGTCATGAGACACTCTCGCAAACGAAATCACGGTTTAGTAACGCAGTAACGCAGCGTACTTACGGGAAAGTAACAGTAATCTAATTACCTTTTTTGCAATAGTAATCCCTTACTTTACTCGTTTCTGATCAAAAATGTTCTTTTCTTTTGTAGAAAACTTTTTGCATGAAACAGGTTTGCATGATTAAACTCTCTTGTTGTTATAACAATGCTGTCACGATCAGCTGATATATACTAGGTACCTAAGTGACGTAGCTTGTTCATAGCTAACCTAGCTGCAGTTACCAAACTGATTACTACTATCTGCTCTGAAGTCGGCAGAATATGGGCTGTTCTGATGACACAGTGCTTCAAACTGCGCTAAATAATGTGCAATTGAAGCTCATCTGTTTTGTTATTATGTGACTGTGTGTTGGCAAGCAAAAGAACCGGGAATGCCAATTTGTAGGGGATAGCCTTTGGCTTAGGTTGGAGTCCCCTTCCCTTCCCCCTTTTTTCTGTGTCTCTGCTGTCGACACAGACAGCCGGGACTCCTGGACTTTCTGCTACATCAAATGATGCAACTATGGTGTTGAAGTAAGCCACTTAGCCTCTTTTATGACATTAGGCTTGAAGACCCACTTATGGTTCAGCCTGGAGGAGGTTTGTTGAGTTGGTGGAAGAAAGTGTTGATCCACTTCTAAGACAAAAAATCGATCTATACAACGGTAAATCTAAATTAAAGGAAATTTATACTGTGGTGTGCTTCATAGCATCTGCTTTCTCCTTGGTAGGAGAAACCTGTCAGCACCACAGGTCCAGTTGGGCACTCAATATTTCTGAATAATCTTCCTGTAGCATCTTTGTATATAACTGTTGGATCAGACATGTGGGAATGCTAATGAAACAGGCAAAAATTAACATTCCCTTTTGGGAATGTTAAGTCCCAAATTAACATTGTTAATGTTGTTTTGGGAATTCCCAAGAGGAAAATGCTAATTGTTCAAGGAACTGTCCTTCACCTCCCTTATTTATGCAAATTCAGTAAACTCCAGGCTCAGATCAGATTTTTACAACAGAAAAACAAAGTGCTGTTTTTCATCAATATGAGCTTGTAAACTGTTATTAAGCAGGTATTGTGAAAACTAGAAACAGTTTGCTGAGCTTCTTAACTTAAATGATCATAGAAGGCAGCTAATCAATCATCTCTACAAATTACTTCTTCAGTCCTGGAAACAAACAATGCTGAAACATTCTTTGTAGTTGTGTCGTTGTGCGTACAGCAGCTCACAGCAGAGTCTTTTCAGCTAAATCAGACATTTCTTAGAACGTTTCCTGCTCAGCCATCTCTAATTTGCATAAAAACACATTATAGTCCAGATTGCACATATAATGATTGCTGTGAAATTTTTAATTCATATACTTATACATATATGTTACAAAAGAAGCATGTGGAATCCTTTTAACATTTATTTTTCATGCTGGATTAAGCAAATATGATCGGTCCTCCTTGGTGTGTGCTTGGCTCCTGCGAACACTGTCCCCAATCTCTAAAGTTCTGTTGGTGATGGGCCTACAGCAGGGTGGGCCCTTTTTTCCTTTACTTTAGTTTTTTAAAATGTGCGTATGTGTCCTTAACCTTTCTTTCAACACCTATTTACCTGTAAAATAAGCTGGTGCAAGATGTTCATTATTAATATTTGCTTTATTTAATCAAAAAGTAGAAAATCAGGGATGAAATTACAGATTGTTCCTCATTCTTTTTAGTTTTTAGTATCAACTCAACAAAAGAAGCAGATTAAATACTAACCATCAGTCGATATTACACCTCGAGTTTCAGTCTGAAATGACCACAGTCTTGATACTTTTGGTTTCTGGTGAAGAACGTCCAACACATACCATGGAAACGTTGATCCTCCAAACAGAGCAAGGCACCTGTGCAAACAAAATCCATATCACTGCAGAAGCTGCATGTCAGTTATCAAAGCTGAATAGAAGTCATAAAAAGTACTCTGATGATCAGCCATCCTGGAGCTTATATATCCCTATCCTGCACCACAGCACTGGAATTGCCATTCAGATTTTCCCAGATCCCAATCCACTAGATGTGGATTACAATACCTGCTTAATAACAGTTTACAAGCCCACCTGGAAATCTGCAATGCTTCAAGAGTTATGAGCTGGTTTGCCAGTTAGTGGGGAATTTGACCAAAACTGGACAGGTGGTTTGAATATTTTGGCTGACTGGTGTATATAACAATATTATCTACATACCTGTCAGTCTGCCCCAGGGCAGCTGTGGCTACAACTGTAGCTGCCTCCACCAGTGTGTGAATGTGTGTGTGAATGGGTGGATGACTGGGTGTGTAAAGCGCTTTGGGGTCCCTAGGCGGGACTAGTAACAGCGCTATACAAATACAGGCCATTTACCATTTACCATTTACATACCCTTCTTTTGACACATCCATCCATCCATGGTCATTTTTATTGTAATAAAAAGTTAAAATACAATAATGCTTTAATAGGAAAACTGCTGCTGCTTACTTGTTTATTTCACCAACAAACACATCTCCACATTCTTGATTCAGCTACCTAGAACTTCTCTCAGGTCTTTGTAAAACAGCATGAGAGATGAGTGAGCAGGGCGGGTGGACAGGATGTGTGTGTAAATGTGTGCATAAACTGCTTGTGTGTGTAAGAGAGAATGAGACAGGCAGAGAAAGAGCCGAGAGAAAGGGAGGCGCTACATTACCCGGCATACAGCAGCAGGAGCAGGCTGGGCTTAGGGATCTATTGTTCCCTGTTTTATTACTGCAAGAGCTCATTCGCACTCATTAAGTAGCCAGGGGAATAAGAGAAACACAGAGGGAGAGGAGAGCGTGAGGAAACCTCACCCTCACTTGCTCAGGATTACTTCTTGGATGCGGTGGCGTGGACAAAGCAGAAAATTCACTTGAGTGCCGCTCTCTATCTTGTGGCCAGGCTCACATTTTCCTCTCGATTGCATTGGGAACAGCAGTATTTGCCGTGCGGTGGCCATGGGGACGGCTGGCAGAGGTATCAGGATCCAAGAGGTCTTGAAAGGAGCCCCACTCCTCTCTCTCTGGACGTTAGCGCTGCTGTTTTTATCCATGTGGGAACTGGATGCACAAACTGCAGTGGAAACTCGACCCATGTACATCTGGCGAACAGGTACAGTCCATCCTCTCTGCTCGTTCAGTCCTGGTCCCTGAGACACTGAGTGACTGGATGGATGTTCTAACCTTACACTCTCGCTGAAATATTCATATGCAAATGTTTGTGTACATAACACAGTACATAAGGGGAAATGAAAAGGGTGAACATGCTCTTTTTTGTTTCTTTCACTTTTTATGATTGGATCAATATATCTCATAAATTAATATTTTTTTTAAACCAAAAGTTTATTTTCTCATGGTCTTTTTGTGGTTAATGCACTGGAGCCATCTTGCTACACTAGAGTTTGATAACATATTTGCTGCAGTCCCTGAAGTGAATGGGGGTTTTGCCCCCGTTTGGGGGGTGGAGATGTGCATTGTGCTCCAGTCTTTTTGGCAGAGCACACCCCCAGACAGAGACAGCTGGAACACTTTGATTGCCTTATGCTGCTATTGGACTCATTTATCACATTTTGAGATGTGTGCAATTGATAAGAAATTGTGTGTGTAGCAAAGCTGCATATGTTACTATGTTTCTGAGTGGGGAAAAATGGAAGCTAGCTGCGAAGGAAGCGACACAAACACAAATAGTAATTGACTATTGATGCAGGTGTTTTTGGTATCTGCTGATGACTTGTGAGTACAGCAGCTTTACAGTCTAAACACAATACAAGGATCCTCACTGCTGCTGTTTAGGGTGGTGCCTCTCACCATCCAAGGTTCATTCACTCTGTGAGAGCAGCACATGGCCAGAAGGACACAAGGGAGAAAGAGGGGAGGAGGATAGAGGAGGAGTGATGAAAGCAGAAATTGGGGGTGGAACTGTGTTGACCCATTGAGACAAAGGTGCCCTTTAGGGGCAGCTGGAGATGAATGTTCTCTTTCTCTACTGTCTAATTTCTCTTTCTCTGGATCAATGTCCTGGTTTCACTGGGATTCTGCAACCGCTGTACTACCAGGGACTGATCAATGAACATAACCCGGCAGTAAAGCTCAGCCTGCATGAGATCAACTATGGCTTTTGATGAAGTCTAAAATATGATCTGCAATCATTTGTTTATGAAGAATAGCATGTGCAGCGTAGTAATCATCCGTGGGGTTGAAATAAAAATATTTCCGAAAAAATCTTTTACAGAATGTTCTGCAATGTTTGCGTCCCCTAATTGGTTAAGATTCCCAGATGTGTATTCGGGACACCAGGAAAAACATTCACAACAAATTATTCCTTTTTTCTTTATACCAGCATCTGTGTAACATCTATTGCTGTAAAGTTTCTTTTCATTTTTATGTGGAAAATGATGGTAGCAGGTTGATGGTACATGTGCTTTCACCTGTTTTGTTTACTTTTTCTTTTGTTTGGTGAGTTTCCTCCTTAGTAGAAGTGAGACACCAGTATTGCTTAATGGTTTTTCTTTTAGAGCTGGTTTTATGCTATTTCACACTTGGACTACTTTCATTTAACGATTACCCTCATTTTACTTTCTGATTAGTTGAATTTATGCATCGAAATCGTCGTCTCTTTAATGGAAAAGCTTCTTTTGTTGCTCCTGACCTGCTCAGGTAATTTTGCTCTCAGACTGGCCTCTATTTATAATAATTTAGAATACTGATTTTTTTGTGAACATTATCCGTTTTTAACACAGTATAGGATATAAAATAATTTTAACCAGGTCTGACTTCACAAGATAACACTAGACGTGATTGTGTGCACTTTAAAAAATTATTTCCTTCAAACTGAGACTTTGTTTCCTTTCCCCTTCAATCTTCGGGCAGCGGTTTACTCCAGTATAAAAACACAACAAGATAACACACAAATAGGTCACACTCACTATACGTTCTCATCAAAGATCATTTATTTATTCCTGTCATAGCTGTTGTTTACAAGCTTCATTGTTCACACCATGTGCAAAGGAATGGAAATCCTTTTGTATTATGTGCTGTACCTCCCACTGTGTTAAAGCAGCGGATGAGATTAAGGGCAGAGAAACCAGAGCAGATTGGCCAGACAAAGTTAACCTAGATACGGTATAGACATGTTTGTGTGGCGTCTCTCTTCTTGGCCTAAGTGTGTCTGTGCTTGGCACTTGGGTGCAGCTCTTGTCACCCTGACAGAACAATGGCAGCAGTGTAGAAAAAAACAGTCAGTGTTTTTGTGCATGCTGGGGTGTTACTGCCTAATCGGGTTCTTGTATGATATTAATAAATTCTCACTTCATCATTTTATTATTTTTACATTTATTCCATGTTGTCAGATTAGGAAGTATCAAAACCCTTGGCAGTCCTGATCCTTTCCCACAATAAATAAAGCCGCCTGCTGAGATCTCAGGAAAAGAGTTCTTTTGAGTGTCAAATTCTGTATGAACAAATGTCCTGGTCACTTATCGGCAGGGTTTTAATGGTTTTGCAATTTTCATTAGTTTTTATTTTTATTTAGTTTTGACTTCAGATTTTCAATTTTGTATCAGGTTTTATTAGTTTTTACCTTTTGTTTGCTAGTTTAGTTTAGTTTTTCTTTTTTTTAAACCCTTAGTTTCAGTTATAGTTTTCGTCGTGTTTGCAACAATGAAGTGTAACAACATCCCAGTTTCATCATATCAGTCATGCTCTTCTGCTTATCCTTGGGTATGTTGCTCTTCCAGCTACCATACCCTGCACCCTGGACAGGTCGCCAGTCTGTCACAGGGCTAACACGCAGAGACAGACAACTCACATCCCCACCTATGGGAATAAATAAATAAATGAGGGCAGATGAACAACTATTGATAGCAGGCAACTATAAGATATATATCTTGGCCCCAATGAGACTATTAACTCTTGCAGCTCCGGGTGAATTGCTAAACTTTTTGAAGGCAATTGACTCACACAGTTGCGTAGATATCCCAGTCTCAATAAACATATTCACCAACGCTTCCTCTCGCTTGTGATGTTCCTGCGAACGGACCAACCAGCAGCCATCGGCTCGCTGTTGGAAGCACTGCATTAATGGTTTTTGTGGAGTTGTCTCGGGATGCTTCACGCTGCCCGGGGTTAGCTTCTGTTTCTGTGGATGAGGCTTGGGCGTGCTCCCTTACCTTCTCAAGCTAAGCTAGGTTAGCCTTCTTGTGTGAGCTTTTCAAAGGTTCCTTTTAGAAATGTTCCGCATAATTTGTCTCTTTCCACTACAAGACAGTTGCTTTATCTAAAACGCAATCATGTTCAGAGTAATATGAAATTGGACTCTGGCGATTTCTCCCGACTTTTGCTGACGTGATTCTGCGTGGGACGGAGCAGCGACACAGACGACTCGACTAACGTACTGCCCCCTGCTGGCACAATGAGACACAGCAAGAAAAAACCTGGAAACTACACTTCACTTTCACCCGACGCTATTGAAAACTAAACACATTTTCGCTATAAATTCAGTTAATTTTAGTTAGTTTTGTGAACGCTCATTACAGTTTTAGTTAGTTTTCCTTTTTCGCAAAGTCTTGTTTTTATTTTTATTTCCGTTAAAAGAGGTGAAAAGAGTGAAAAATGGTTTTTCACTTCTAGTTTTCGTTAACGATAATAACCTTGGTGATAGGGAAAGGAGTCAATCCCTCTTCTGCTACAATCAGATGATTTCAATGTGTGCCAGAGGAGGAGGTTACAGTCTACAGCATGGATATTATTTTACAATGGATGGGTACTATTTTATATTATTTTATATTGCTTTCTCCTGGGAGTAATTAAGTAACATACACATCTAATGCATGAGTTTGTTTTTTTTACAAGCTAACATTTATTAGAAGAGCTTGTTTTTGACAGACTTCACCTAACCATGCAGCCTGCCTTAAGTCTGAACTGAAAAATGAAGAGATGCAGCCCACTATTTTTGTCCATGGTGCAGATGGGTGGCTGAAATTTGCGACAGTACTAACGTGAAAGACATGGGTTCTCTGGCGACTGCAGCAATATGTTCAGAAGTGAACATGGAAATATTAATAAAGAATCTGTTAAATCATTCCCTGCAGGCCATTTTAAACCAGACCAAAAATGGACCATGAAACCAACAGATGAGTCATCAGCCTCCACATTACACCCATATGTATGGAATTTGGTGACAATGTGTAATTTGGCACAGTGTGGTGTCTTTTGGCAGATGACTAGATTTGTGTCTGGGCGTGTCTGGAGTATAGAAGCCACAGACAGAAGGTTTGGGATCAGCTGGTCTTCCTCTTTAAATGTTATCTCCCTGTTTCCTCTCCAGTCAGTCACACAGCTAAATACTTTCATTCGTGACCACTGAGTGTCATCTTTTGTAGTTTTGAACAAGAAAAACATCTGACACTGTTTTGAAGTTGTTACATGGCACAAATAACTTCTAAACAAATTTCAGAGATTCACAGTTTATTTTCTATTTTGGGGGAAATTATATAATCATATTGCTAAACCTTTCTGTTACCTTTGGAAAACAATAAGAAACCTAAAACAACACATTTAAGTACGGCCTTTCACATAGTTAAGTCTTACAAATACAAAAACAAACATAGTGGTCTGTGCACACCATCTGTGTTTAATCATTTTGATAAATTTTCAGACACTGCAGCAGCTCCTGGCAGTCCTGAAAACCAGTTACTGGTGCTTTATATGTCTGCGCTGCACTTACTCATCTGTTTAAAGCAACCTTTGAGGCATAAACACAACTGCCAGTGTAAGTGATGCAGTTGTGTGCTGCTTGGTCCACTGTGGAACAACAAAGGTTTCTGTAGAGCTGCACAAATCAGAGCAATGAATGATGGAATTTGATGGGGCAGGTCATCTTGTCCAGACTCAGTAAGCTTCAGAAAGAAGCAATGAATGAAGGTTATTTAATGCTGTAAAGGTCACACACAGAGAATAACACTGTGTTGTGGCATCGTTCGCATGCAGCTCTGTTCAAGCTCTCTGCTGCAGATGCTCATCTCTATGTGGCACACAAAAGAGAGAAGAGGCTTCACCTCGAGTCACATGGCTTGCTTATTGTTCTTCTTCACCCCCACAAAATCAATCCCCCAA